ATGAGGAGGCAGAGTGATTGTTATATTATTTCTTGCTAGTTGTAAGAGATAAAAAAGAAGGGTATAGTTTTGTGTTTTCTGGTAATGTGTAAGAAGTGTTTCTTTAGTAAGTTTTGGGAACCAGATTTTTGATAGCCAGGATTTAATTCGAAGAATGCCAATATTGTGAAGAAGTGAAAAAGTATTAAAGATATGTTCAATGTTGGATACGCTAGCTTTCTGAATTATATTTGTAAAGGTGAGTAGATTAAAAGTAAGTGGGTTGGTAAGTGAGATATTGTTGGTGTTTTTGGCTAGAGAAAGCATCTTTTTTGTTTGTATAGATAATAGTCAAGAGAGTTTAGTTTGTATATTTTTTTGAATAGGTATAATTTGTAGAAGGTATTCTATTCAAATATATTAAACATTAATATTAGTATTATAAAATCAAAATATACAATTACTTACTAAATATTGTTCTATTCTATGTTTCATTCGAGATTCCTTACACAAAAGGTTTCATGAATGGGGGTTCAGTAAAATGTTGCAAACTGCAAACGTGAACGCGCAATGTTTATTGGTCATGGAGGGAACTGCCGCCATACTAAAAGCTATCCTTGTGATAATAAACACCCAAAAGTTGCCCTTATCATTTCGTTCAAAAAGCATACAATAACAATCGCTTACTGCTAAACTTTTCTTCCATCTTACAATATTGGCCACAGCCATATTACTTCTTAACCAGGGCAATTTATCAACCCCAAAAATACTCCAAATCACAGACCTAATATTTTAAAAAGCAGCTCCATGATTGTTCTTGATTTTTTTTAGGAGCTATATAATTTAAATTGTAAGTAGTTAGAAAATTAAAACTGAAAACCATCATTAACAATCGTAAGCAATATATAATAAAAGAATAATACCTAATACAAAATAATATAAATTGAGAAAGTTAGAAAATGATTATAAGCAATAGATATATATAATAAAAAAAGAATATTACCAGACTCAACTATTGACCATAAAAATGGTTTGTGAATTTGTTGAAACTTAAGTTAGACATAAAGTCCGGGAACCTTTTCTCTAGGTAGCTCTTAAATGTTTCCTTTATGATTGCTTGGGTGAAGTATACATGGTACAGAAAAAGACGTTTAGCAACACCAGTAAAGATTTCCTGTAAGAAACAAAAAACTTTAAAATAAGTTTTATTATAAAATACAAGACAATACTTCCAAACAAGTTTTTCATTATAAAAACTATAAAAAATACCAACATCCATAACCTTTGGAGAAGGTTCATTGTCTACTTCACTTCGCTGCTGTTTTAATTCCAATTTAATCTCTCTTATATCTTCGCTAAGCCTTTTTTTTAAGATATACAGTGTCTGGTTTTGGCTAAAAAGTATCTCATCTACTTTTCTGCTCTTGCGTTGGTGGTGGGAACGAGTTTACAAAACCAAAAAAAAAAGTTAAAAAAAAAAAAAAAAGCAAAGTTCAATTTTTAGTTACATGAAAAAAAGATGCTTTTATATAGTTTTAATCACTAATTACCTTTTGGTGGTGATTGTCTTTCTGGTGATCTTCCTCATGATTGTGGACGTAACCTAGATAATGAATGATTTCTATCATTACATGGAGATATATTACGAGAATGTGATTCATATTAAGAATAGAAAGATTGTCTTGATGGAGAACGTAATTCATGTTGAGAGCAGGATGTTTGTTGAGTAGATGATTGCATTGAATGATAGTGAGATTGATGTGCTTTTGTTGATCAAGATTTACTACTCATAGTTACATAGGTTCTTTGGATATCTCTAATACTTGAAGCAGCTGAGTCCGATGAATCATAATCATATTAAGTTGGATAAAATGGTTGATAAGAAGAAGCGATATTAGATGTTGATTGAGGATATTGATGAGAAGAATCGATATTATGTAGATATGTTGATTGAGGATGTTGATAGGAAGAAGTAATATTAGGTGGAGGTGTTGATTGAGGATGAGAAGAAGCGATATTAGGCAGAGGTGTTAATTTAGGATATTGATAGGAAGTGTTATTAGATGGAGGTGTTGATGGATGATGTTGATGGAAAGAAACATTATTAGTTGATATATTAGGAATAGAGGTAGCAAGAGGAACTGATGAATTGTATCTTGAGTTAGTATTCATTTCAAAATTTTCTAAAAAAAAATCAAAATTTTTTTACCTTTCAAACAATAAAAAATCTTGTATTTATATTTTGGTAAAATTTACGTAAGTAGAAAATAAAAGTTAAAATCTAATAATAAGAAACGAAATATAAAGAATGACAATAATGAATATTTATCTTGTTTTGTTATAATGATAGCTACTGAGATTTATCATTATACTAAATCTGAGTTTTATTATATGCATATTACATAATTTTTCGCTGAGATTTGTTATGATATTAAAGTATATAATTATAATATAAAGTATAAGATTATATCATAAATAATTATTGTATTGATAAAATAAGCAAAGAAACATCAATTTATATATATCGATAGTAATCTATATATATTGCTTTATAATATTTTTTACAATTATTTCTCTTTATTTTTTTAGATGCTCTTTTATATAAAATTTATATTCTTTTTTTATATTCAATAATATATCCTATTTTATCTTTTACATTCAACATATATCTATTCTAACTTTAACGTTCGATATATATTCTATTCTATCTTTTTCATTTAATACATATATCTTATTTTCGTTTCTAATTTTTTTTTCTTTTTTTTTTTTTTTTTTATATCTTTCTTTTTTTCTTCTTTTTTTCTTTTTCTTAAAATACGTTGGCCATGTGAGCATTGTAATCGAGAATTTTTGAAATCATTTGCATTAGTACAACATATTTCACAAAAACATCCTTATTTTAAAGATTCCAAAAATAACATGGTTCAAGATTCCACAAATAACATGGTTTCTTCAGTATACTTAGATAACAATAATGATATTTGGAATCTTCCAGAATATAGTTCTAGTTATAATTCTGCTACAGAATATGAAGTAAATTGTTTATACATCTTTAATTTGTTATAAAGTATTATAAAATAATAATATTTAATATAGAGCAAAAATATGTCAATCTTATCTGAATCAATTCCAAATGAGCCTTCTTATGGAAGAGGAACATCTTTCAAGTGATAATGTGCCGCCAGAAGATAAATTATCTCAAAATATGTTTAATGAAAGTGATCTTGAAGACTATAGAGATACTTTGTTAGATGGTACTTTTGATATTAACCCCAAAGATTATGAAGGAGCTTCGTTTGATAATGCTTTTAATAACTTGTGCTACCCACAAAATGTTGAATGGCCTAATGATGCCTATTGCGAATTTATGGAGATAGTTAATAAGTATCGACTTTCAAATTCAGCTGGTGATGCTTTTATAAACTTCTTCAATAAATTCGCCAATTTGGATATTTCACCGCTTCCACTATCAACAAAGGCTGAAAAGGAATTTCTTGATGAATCTACCCCACCTTATATAATGTTTAAAGAAATTCT